TATCCCAGGTGCCCCCAACTCAGAGCCCCAGAAAATAGCTCTACCATTCTTGAGAGATCTGTGGTGTGCAGCTGATGATCTATTTTCAAAGGCAAAGCCAGGGTCAGGAATCTGAGTATGGAGCTGCCACAGGCTGGCTTTGTGATATTGAGCAAGGTCCTCAACCTCTCTGAGTGTTGTCAGATGGGAACCTTCCTTTGTAGACCAAAGAGCTGAAGATGTTGAGGAGGTCTCCTTTCCCTAATTAGAAGGCCCCAACCTTCCACCTCCTCCTTCCTTTCCTTCTTATTCCTCCCCACCCACCCACCATCACCTCCACCACTCGGTGGTGTGGATACTATTATTATCTTTTCACAAGGAGGCATTGAAGGATCAGAGGGGTGGAGTTACTGACCCAGCGTCACTCAGCCAGATGTTTCTGGCCTCAGAATCTGGACTTTGGAAAGCTGACCCTGCCCTGATTCTCCCACTCTTCTCTTCTCACTCCTGTCAATCTCATCCAGCTCTTCCCTCAACTTCTCTCCCTGTCTCTTGTGAGCACCTAAGTCAAGATCCCATCATTTCTGACCCTGCAGCACCAGCAGCCTCCTTGCCTCCTGCCAGGTCGCCCCCCACTCGGGTTCTCTGCAGTCTGGCTGGCACACACACAGTCACGTGAGCCTTTTAACACGTAGTGCTTCACACAAGGTCCTGCTTCTTGAGGCTTCCCTTGCCTGTGGAGTCACTTGAGCCTCTCTCCCACAGCCCTGCGGCCTGCGCGGCCCGGCTCCAGCTGCTCTCCTTCCCGTCTTGCTCACCCAGCTCCAGCCTCTCTGGCTTTTTTCAGTTTCCCAAACACAACAGCTTGCTGCTGCCTGGCACTTGCTTTGCGCTTGGCTGCCCCTGCCTTCTGGGAAGTTCTACCTGCTTCCTCTTCCTTCTTTAGGCCTTGGTTCAGACGGCCTTCCTCACACCACCCCACTGACCATCATCCCACCCAGCCGTCTCCTCCATTTTTTTCTCATTTTTCTCTCAGTCTGAGGACACTCTGTCATGTCGTGAGTTGACCTGCTTAGGGTTTGTCTCTCCACTGGAATGGGGGGCCCTCAGGGAAACTCATCTTATTCAACTGTGTCCCCAGGACCAGACACAGGGCCTGGCACTTAGGATGTGCTCATATTTGTTCAATAGAAATAAGACCTTCCCCAAGTTCTCTTGAAAACTCAGAAAGGTCTTTTAATTATTATATTCCAAAGCAAACTCCTGACTCCTGATTTCCCTGTGATTTAGAGCAGGGTGTGTACCTAGGGGTACCCGGGACATAGATCATGGCCATTCCAGGTTTGTAGGAGGAGCCTTTTGCTCGGATGGTGGAGCAGACCCACAATCCTAGCTATCCGGGAGGCTGAGGCAAGGGAGGGGGGGGGTCACAAGTTTGAGGTCAGCCTCAGCAACTAAGTAAGACCCTATATCAAAATAAAATGGCCTGGTGTGGTGGCGCATACTTGTAATCCCAGAGGCTCATGAGGCTGAGACAGGAGGATCGCAAGTTCAAACCCAGCCTCAGCAAAGGCACTAAGCAACTCAAGGAGACCCTGTCTCTAAATAAAACTCAAAATAGGGCTGGGGATGCAGCTGAGTGGCTGAGTGCCCCTGAGTTCAATCCCTGGTACCAAAAAAAAAAGCAAGAAAGACTGGGGATGGGGATGGACTTGTGGCTCAGTGGTACGGTGCTTGCCTGGCGTGTGTGAGGCCCTGGGTTTGACTCTCAGCACTGCATATAAGTACATAAAAACAAAATTCCCTCAACAACTAAAAGAAATTATATGTATATATATATATATATAGAGAGAGAGAGAGAGAGAGACTGGGGATGCAGCTCAGTGGTAGAGAGTCTGGGTTCCCCAGAACTGCAAAACACAAAACAAAGCAAAAAGAGGGGCCTGCCTATTCTACATGGTTTCCTGGGATCTGGCTTGGGCACCTGCAGTCTGAGTTAGGTGCTAAGACTTCAGACAGCTCTTAACACCTAGAAGGTTCCAAATGCTAGTGGCCCCATCAGGTGCCAATGTGTAAGTGACCAGCCAACCCCCAGACTTCACAGACATCTGTGAAGTTCTCCAATCCAAATGGAGGTCAGTGAGTGTACCTTAGGAGGACAGAGGCCCCCCAGATTCCCATTCATGTGTTCATTCATTCTTTAACTGCTGTATTTACAGACTGTTACCCAGAACCTGGCACATAATAGGTGCTCAGTAGATGTATGTTAGAAGAATTAATTTATTCTATACAAGCAACATTTACTGAGCACCTACTGCATGTTAGGTCCTGTGTTAAGAGAAGGAGGACAGATGGTGTACATAAAGCAACTGGAGCTATAAGCCCCTGCTGGCAGCTGGAAGTTTGCTGGGGCCCCTTTGGCTGTGGCTCTCAACATCTCCCCAGCAAACTTCCAGCTGCCAGCAAGCCCCCTCCCAGGATCACTAGGATGCCTCTAAACCCTCCCAACTCAGCTCCCACTGGCTGCCAGGCTCCAGGCCCAGGGCTTCTCTCAGAATTGAGGTGTGGCCCAAGAACCCCATGCCCCATAAGACCTTAGATGGCTGCATCCCACAGCTACAACTCCCCAAATCCTACCAGTCCTACACACCCGCTCCTTCAGCCTCCTTTCCTCCTCCCTCCCAAACCCTCAGACACCGCCATCTCCCCCTCCCAATGCCCTACATCTGCCTGAGGTTTTACCAGGAGAAGCCAGCAGATGGCGCTGAGGCACCCCTTTCCCTAGCGCTGGACCAGAGGCCAGACCCCACCAGGACCCTCTCCCTCCCTCCTTTCTCCCCAGCAAGGCCAAGAGTGGATTCTGTGACCTCCAAATAACCCCCTTCCTCCCTGCTGGGTCCTATGATGGAGAAATGAGGAGGCTCCAGTTGCTCCTGCAGGCCCTCTGGCTGTCTGGGGGGAAGGGAGAAAGGTCCCTAGGGGCCAAGCTGCAGCTGGTGGGGCGGGGCAGGCAGGGCAGGGCAGGCAGCAACTGCCAAGACAGAAAGAGAGAAAGAGAAAGGAGAGAGAAGGTGCTCTGGCTCCCAACTTCTATCCCAAACAGGTCGACTTCCCAGCTGAGGCTTGCCCCCAGGACAAGAGGTACGTGGGAAGAAGCAGATGGGGGGAAGGGGGCTTGGGGTATGGAGGGGCTGGGTAGTGAGATTCTGCAGCTCAGTGAGAACCCCTGAGTCCCCTCCCATCTCAAAGTGACCAGGTAGAAACTTGGAGGGCAAGGGAAGAAGTCCTGAGGGGGGCATCAGGAGGGGAGGGTTGTTTCATTGCTGCTCTGATTCATTGTGTGAATTTACACCAACCTCTTCCATCTCTGAGCTTCAGTTTCTTATCTACAACCGAAAGAGTGGGGGAAAGACCCCGAAGACCTTCTGTGAGATAACTGTAGGAAGAGTCCCCTTTCCAAAGAGGGTAGCTCTTCCAGGGCCTCTGGAAAACTCCTAAGATAGAGGAACGCCCTCCCAATAGTAGAAATTAGATAGTGCGGGTAGGGAATTTGTTTGGATAGATGGGTGGTCTTTCCATGTCAGGGACCCTGGGACACTGGTCCCTAACTTGTTTTTTTGACTGGGACTTGAGGTGGAGAATGTCAGGATTGAAGGGGTGGGGGGAATCTCTTGCTGCCTGGTACTCCAGAGGTCCTCTTATTAGGGAGAGGGTCATGAGTGCAGGACAAGGACACCTCTTTGCCCCCAAGATCAGAAAGGAGTGGGTTGGCCAGGAGGGTGTATGCTGGCAGAAGCAGGCATATTGATGCTCACAGGGTTATGAAGCAAGGGTCATCCAAGCCCTTTCATTAGCTGTGGCTGCCTGCTATGTCTCCAAAGCCCTGAGCACTTTAAAGCCATTAGCTCAATCACTGCTTACACATTTATCAGGCCAAAATGGGTGTGGGGGGCTGGCCTAGAGCTGCCCCCACCCCCACCCACACACACTGCTCTTAAAGAGAGATTGTTCCAGATTGTTTCCTGGTTGCAAAGGCCCTACCACACTACCTACCACAGGAAGCTTCTAGAATCTCAGGGATCCTGGGATATTACTCTGAAGTCAGTCTGGAGGGAGAGACAGTTGAGAAAAGGCCAACTTTGGAAATCAGAGCAGCCTGGGTTCAAATTCTGACTGCTGTGGAGCCTTGCAGGAGCCGGAGTAGCCTGTCCAAGTTGCAGTCTCCACCTGTGCAAAAGGCACACAATAGAGTAGGACCTTATGGAGCTGCAGTGAGAATTAGGCCCCCCAAATGCAAGTAAAGACCAGCACAGCAGGGTGTCTGGTACCTAGCAGATGCCCATTATTGCTCATTAGGGAGATTAAAAAGGCAAAGAACTGGTTTGGGGTTCCCAGCTAGACTAGACCTCCCGTGAGCCAGAGTACTGCCTTCTGGGTCCCACAGTAAACACTCTGCACTTGCTGTGGTCACCCCCGTCCCAATTATGAGTACTTCTCTCTGCTCACTCCTGCACCAGGTAGCAAGACGGGTATGGGGGGAAGCTCAGGGTGGAAACCCCAGGCCACTTTGGGGTGGGATGGAGGCACAAAGGAGCATTTCAGTGGCTCTGTCCTCCCTTTCCCTTGGGAAAGGGCAGGGATGGGGGGCTAGGTCAGGTCTGGGCCGGGGCTGACCACCGTGTGGACACCGGGAACCCTGCTGCTCCAGCACGGGCGAGAGTGAGCCACGGGGCCGCCAGTCAGGTAAGTCCCAGGGGCGCGGGGGCAGCAGTCGGGGCGCCCTCGGCCCCTCACCCCGCCCCCGCGCCTCTCCCCGCAGCGGGGGCGCCCCGCCCCCCGGGCGCCCGACGTGGACGCGGCCGCCGCCGCCGCCGCCGCCGCGCGGGAGTCGCTGTCCGCGGAGCCGACATGCAGGCGGCGCGGGGCGGCGCGGGGCGGCCGGGCCGGGCGGGCCGCGGGCCAGAGCGGGAGCGCGAGCGGCCGCCGGGCACCGGAGCCGCGTCCCCCTGCGCCGCCCCGGACCGGCCGGCCGGAGGAGCCGCTATGCACCCGGGGCCGCCGTGCGCCTGGCCGCCCCGCGCCACGCTCCGCCTGTGGCTGGGCTGCGTCTGCTTCGCGCTGGTGCAGGCGGGTAAGGGGGCCCCGGGCAGGGGCCGGGGGCAGGGCGGCGGGGCAGCCTCCTCTCCAGGTCCTATCACCTGGGAGTCCTCGGTTCCCTTCCTGCTCCCGAGGGACCTCCTGACTCACCTGCTCACTGCTCCCTAACCCGACCCCCGCGCTTCCCTACCTTCGTGACCCCAGACTCGTCCTTCAGCCTCCAAACCCTGCCCATGACCTCAGCCCTGGGTTTTTAGAGTCTTGTGACCCCTGATATCTTAATCCCATCCCCTGACTCCAGGTCTTTGCCTCAGGTTCTCTTTTTCTGGCCCAGGGAGCAGCTGAGGACACCAGTCCTCCCAGTTTGGGCCTCCTTCCCTGTCCTCAAAGACCTCTCAAAGCCCCACAGGACAACTCCACACATTCCTTGTGCAAGAGAATGTGTGATGGGAATGGAGACTGGCACCTGGGGGTGCAGGGTGGGTGAGGGTGGCCCCCAAGCCTGGTGCAGTGGCTGGCTCAGCCCCTGGGGCCCAGCCTCTCCTGACAGGTCTCTGTCCCTTCTGGTTGCGGCTGCCTCTGCCCATCTATCTGTCCATGGCTCAGCGCACTTGCTCTGCGGTCTCTGTCTGTTTCTAACCTTCCACTTGTCTGCTCTCTGTTGTTCTGTGTCTGCCGCCACCTGTCTGTGTCCTTCTGTCCCTTTCCATCTTCATGTCTGGCTTAGCTCCTGGGTCTCAAGTCCATTCATCTGTGGGGTGAGGGGTTACTGCTCAGGCCCATGTCTTCCTCTTGCAGCAGCTACCTCTTCGGAGATGGACTTGTATGACTCCACTCCCCTCTTCTGGAAGGTTCTTCCTGACCTGACCCCCAATCCCCAACATTCTCCCTCTTGCTCTCTTGACTGATAACCCATTCATCCTCTCACCCAGAAGGCCTTGCCCTGTCCTCTCTTCACTGAAGGGCTCTGCTCTGAGTGCCCCATATTCTCCAGCTCTTTCCCTCCCACCCGCCCCTTGGGGGGTTGGTGGAGTGTGGAGAAGAGACTCATGAAGACCCCTTCCCAAGTTGCATGCTGCCCAATTCATCACCACAATTCTGGGGGTTTCCTCTGTTGCCCCTCCCTCCCATCCCAGAGTTCAGTCCACCAGGCTCTTCTCAACCTCTGGGTCTTTCTCCTTCCCTCAAGGTCACTCACTTGACAGTGCAGGACTATAGAAAGAGCACTGGACTCGGAGTCCTTTTGACTGCTTTTCATCAAACTAATCTTCAGCTTCTGCAACCCTAGTCATTTGTCCCCTTCATGCCTGTTCCCCAGACTTTAACCATCCATGCATTAAATCTGACTCTGGCCCAGGCCCATTAATTTTTTACGTGGGCCCCTAGTGGGGCTGGCCTAGGGTCAACAGGGGCTTTCATCCTACACACAAAGAGCCTGGAACTGCTTCCTTTCCCTATGGCATGGCCTTCCCCAGGATTCCCCTTCTCACTTATAAAACTGGGACTAGGCAACACAAGCAGAGGACACTCAGGCTCACGTGCCTCCCTGCCCTGCAGATAGCCCCTCAGCCCCAGTGAATGTCACCGTCAGACATCTCAAAGCCAATTCTGCAGTTGTCAGCTGGGACGTCCTGGAAGATGAGGTTGTCATCGGGTTTGCCATCTCTCAGCAGGTAACTCTTGAAGGTCCTTGGGAGGGAAGGACACATCAAGATAATGACTACTAGAAATGGAGGATGGTGGGGTAAGGAAATAGAAAGGAAAAAGAAATGCAGAGCAAGAGAGGCTGGCAACACATACGTTCGTTGCACATGTGACCGGAAATTGGGGCCCTGAGGGAATTCATTAGTGGAGAAGGGTTCAGGAGCTTTCAACTGGGACATGGAATTCAGAGCATGGATCTGATCTCAGAACCACCAGTGTTTAGGACCTGGCTCCAATTTTCACTAGGTGTATGGTCTTGGGCAACTTCTCTAATCTCTCTGAAGATGTTTCCTTAAATATACAATGGATTTTGTGAGAGACGGGGTCTGGTCAGAGCCCCCCAACGTTACCTGAAGTGACAGGATGATTGTGTTAAGTATAGGATTTGTCACTACTGGGAGGTAGACAGAAACAAGGTTGGTGTCTGGGCATTGAGAGATGGCCGGTGCTCACTTTTGCAGAAGAAAGACGTGCGGATGCTGCGCTTCATCCAGGAAGTGAACACCACCACTCGCTCCTGTGCCCTTTGGGACCTAGAGGAAGATACCGAGTACATTGTGCATGTGCAGGCCATCTCCATCCAGGGCCAGAGCCCGGCTAGTGAGCCTGTGCTCTTCAAGACTCCAAGAGAGGCTGAGAAGATGGCCTCCAAGAACAAAGGCAGGCCTGGGGCATGTTGGAGGAGCAGGGAGGGGGCAACTGGGGCCAGAACAGCAGGTGGCATGAGGAAAGCACCCTCTCCCCAGTCCTCTCCTTGTCCCTGCCACCAAGTAAAGCAGCATCTGAGAGGGAGAAGGTTCACTCTAGTTCTCCAGGACACTGGGTACATAAACTCTCACCTTTGGATAAAGCCTTATTGCTGCCAACCCAAGCAGACATCAGTGTGTTTCCAGGTCTCTTTATGTTAGGTGTGAGGGCACCTATACACATAAGTACTTATTGTCAAGGTCTTGGCCCTAGAGTAGTGATTGGGGGAGGGAGGAGCCCCAGACTAGTGTCTCTTTCTCTACAGATGAGGTGACCATGAAAGAGATGGGGAGGAACCAACAGCTGAGGACAGGCGAGGTGCTGATCATCGTCGTGGTCCTGTTCATGTGGGCAGGTGAGTCAGGCCTCCAAGCCTTTCTCATCTTTGGGATATCTGGGGGTTGTAACCAGATCCCTTCTCTCACAAAACCAAGGGTAAAGGGCTTGGAGAGATCTAAGAAAAGAGTGAAAAGTTTCTTGCGTCCTGCCTGAGATAGCTCTGGGGGCCAAATCTGACCCCTTCTCTAATCCACTTATCCAAAACAGCACATTACTAGCTGCCTTCTAGCTCCTGTACGTTTGGGGCATGGCTGTAGCCTCTCCTTCCTCTTCTGAGTAGCTGGGCCTCCAGGGGCTTCAGGCCTGGTCAGCCCAGGGGAAGCACTGCCCAGCCTCAGGCTTGAGACCCTCTCCTCACCTGCCTGTCCTTCTAGACCCAGCTTGGGGCCTGCCACTATGGAAACTCCCCCATCCACCCACTGGACGGCCTCCTGCCTTTGTGCTACTGCAGCATACTGTCCTCCCCTTTAACCCTCCTTATGTTGGGCTCAAGGCTCTCTCTTCCCCACCTGATGCTGGTCTATGAGCTCCCTAAGGGTAAAGTCCAAGTGTCCTTCATCTTTTTTTTTCTCCTTTCTTTTTTTTTTTTTAATATTTATTTATTTTTTTAGTTTTCGGCATACACATCTTTGTTTGTATGTGGTGCTGAGGATCGAACCCGGGCCACACGCATGCCAGGCGAGCGCGCTACCGCTTGAGCCACATCCCCAGCCCTCTTTTTTTTGTGTGTGTGTGTGTGGTGCTGGGGATTGAACCCAGGGCCTTGTGCATGCAAGGCAAGCACTCTACCAACTGAGCCATATCCCCAGCCCAAAGTGTCCTTCATCTTTGAAATCAACTCCACTGACATTTAACTGATCGAACACCCCATTCCAAAGAGTAGTGTTACAGTCAGAACCAAGAAGAGCCCTGTGCTCGCAAGGAACTCAGTCTGGGAGAAGCCAGGCCCAAACTTAACAATAATTCAATGTGTGATGAGTGCAACAATAATACCAAGGATGGGGGCAGAGGAGAGGGAATTAATTCTGGAGCTAGGAGTAGAAATCAAGAAAAACAGAGCAGAGATAACATTGGAGTTGAACTTTGAAGGAAGAACAGGTGCTCACCAGGCAGCCAGAAGAGGAAGGGAGTCCTGGGCATGATGTAGTCAAGAAACAAATTAAGCTCAGTCTGGCCCACTGTGGCTGTGACCTAGGAGAGAAGGCAGAGTGTGGGGGAGTAAAGCTCAGTGAGTCTTTGGAGTCTTCTGAGAAATTTGAACACGTTGCTAAAGCCTGAATTACATGGTAGTTGAGAGGACATGCTCTGTTGAGAAAGCATTGGGGGGAAAAATGATCCTCAGGGCATGTAGAGAACAGGCACTTGGGACAGAAAGCAGGAAAAACAAAGGGTCGTACAAAAGAGGAGGTTTGCTTGTAGCACATTATTAGATTTGGCACCCATAGTATTTACATAATCATAACACCATAAGCATAGTGAATTAACCCAGAATTGTGGTGTAATTCTGTTAGGAGATGGAGAAGGAAATAGAGGGAGTTATTAGGCTTAATCTACTATGATGGGAAGTCAATGGATATTTAAAATAGATCATGAAATAACACTATAAATTCAGAGGTAAAAATGGGAAAAACATCTAGAATTGGAGTTGGTTGCCTTAATACTATCTTTCAAAAACTAGTGTTCACATATTTCTGACTTGATAAAACTAGACATTTAACAGGCCCTGGAGTTCCTCTCCCAGATGCACCGTGGTGTGATAACAATAGGTATCCTTGAGTTGTAAGGACTAAGTGAAGCTGCATGTGTCTGTACACAGCACAGGGCCAGGCACATGCTCAACAAGTGCTGTTATTGTTTTGTTTTCCCCTAAAGGAAAAGGGAGCTGCCAGAGGTTTACAGGAAGGGCTGGGAGGAGGCATGATCAGGTACATGCTGTAGGAAGATCTGCCCAACAGCAGCAAGAGGGACGGCTGGTGAGAGGAAGGTGGAAACAGGAGCTGGAGGCTGGAGGCAGGCTCCAGCAGTGGAGCAGGGGAGGCCATCTGGAACAATGTTGGCAAGCCCTGATGAGGATGAAGCACGAGGCATGGCAAGTACTCAGCCCTGGCCTCTGACGGCTCCCGCGTGTCCTCCCTAGGTGTCATTGCCCTCTTCTGCCGCCAGTATGATATTATTAAGGACAACGAACCAAATAACAACAAAGAAAAAACCAAGAGTGCGTCAGAAACCAGCACACCAGAGCACCAGGGCGGCGGTCTCCTCCGCAGCAAGGTGAGGGCCAGTCCTGGGCGGCTGGGAGGGTGGCTCCATGCCTTGTGCGCTGGTAGTCCCTGGACTGCAAAAGGGGTCAGCTCAGGGCCTGGCATGGCTGCAGCTGGGCAGAGCCAAGCTTGGCCACTGCCTGTGTGACACGGGACACTGCAAATTGATTTTGGATCCTCTCCTTTTGCAGGATGCCAGGGACCAGTAGTGATTAAAAAAAAAAAAAAAGAAAGAAAGAAAAGGCGGTGGGGGGTGGAGTTCCTGGTTGGTGTGGGGCTGTGAGGGTAGGAATGCTGTACTCATTTTCATTCCTGCCATGCTACGTGTCTTGGGCAGGTGTTTACCGCTGTACTTTCATTTCCTCTTCTGTAAAACAGATATGAAAACTTTTCAGTGCTTGCTCTGAGCAGCTCAGAAGAAAGACATTAGAGAATGTGAGAGGATTTCATGGTTCTGACGATGATTAGCCAACAAACATCTGGCCCTCTCTGCATCTCCTTCTTCTTCCATCTCCTTGTATCCTCGGGCTTACTGTCCTCTCTCTTGGCTTCTCTCTTTCTGGCGCCTTTTCCTGAAGCCTCTTATTAACTCCCATCTCCAGAAGCACCTCAACAATGTCCGTGGCTGAGGCTGTGCCCAGAGGCAGATCTGCAGGATGTGAGAGAACCCGCCAGAGGGATGACTCTGCTGGGGTAGACTGGGTACCAGGGCAAGAGGCCCGGATTCAGTCTTGGCCACTCAGCTGAGTTTGAAAAGGCAGAGAAACAAGACTTACAGGCAGGGCTACTCTTTTCTTTCCACAAGGGACAAGAGCCTGATTTTTTAGGCTGTAATCCTGCTACTCCATTCCTCCTTCTGTCCTCTCTGTTTCCCACCTTTCAAGAAGTCTATTCAATCAGTTTTGGCCACTTCTCTCATTTTTTCCCTCCCAGTTTCCAAACAAGTCCTCAGTGAACATCATCGAAGCATGACTGCCTGTCTGCAGGGAGAAGGATTTCATTTTTCTTCTCTGCTGGTCCCTGGGTCCTGGGCACAGAGAGAGAACTGACCGCAGCAAGGGAGGAGGCACAGTTCTTCCTCTTCCCCATCTTAGTCTGATGACAGAGGCTGAACTACAAACCCAAATTCTGCAAAAAAATAAATAAAATAAATAATAATAATAATAAATAAATAAGTAAGTAAATAATAAGCCACAAAACTAAAAGGCCTGGCCCCATCCTGGGAAAGGAAAAACTGCATGAGACACAGCCTTCTGCCTCCTCTCCTCTCCTGGACTGGCTTCCTCTTTGAGAAAATGCACAAAACCCTGGGAGATGACAAGTACCAAGACTGACTCAAGCTGTGTCTTTCAGACCGAGGCGCATCAGGGAAGCCATAGGGCTGCCATCAAGCCTTTTCTGGATCCAGCCATCAAGGACTTGTTTGTGGTGTGATGCACACCCTTGTGAGTGTGTTTAAGAGGTCACCTGCTAGGTCTCTTTTGGAAAAAAAAAATCAAAAACTGGAGGGTACCACTCCAGAGGGCAGAGGTTTCTCCCAAGGTCTGAGCTCGTTGTTGCCTGCATCCTGTTTTCTTTGACCCTTCCTTTGATGGTAAGATCATCAGCTGGGGTCTGAAGAAGACCTGGAAGGTACTTACTGGCCCTGTCTTTTTTAGCAAGCATCTCTTGGGAGTTTCAGCAGTGCTGGCTTGGACAACTGAAAAAGCACATCCATGTCCTGCATCCTGGGGGCTGCTGAGCCACCCACTGTAGAACGGTAGCTGCTAGAAGACAGGCACGAGCCATTCACCATAGACAGAAAGAGCAGCCTGGCTGTCACTACTGGCCTCTGGGGTCTTCATATCTTGCCATCTCATCCAAGGTTCTGTGAAAGTTACCCAGGGTCCTCATGTCCTTCCCTAGAGCCTGAGTGGTGTAAGGTGACAGGTCTCTCCACTGCCCCTTACTGGTTTTTAAAAAACAAAAAAATGGTGCTTGATGAGGGAACCAGACTCTTCCCTGAGACTGACACATTATGGCTACCAAATGCTTGCATAGGAAGAGGCGAACTGTGCATCTTCCGCTGGTGGCCAAGGCAAGGATGTGGAAGGTTGTGCCTAACACAAGCCTGACACACAGCAAGTACTCAGTAAAAATATGTTGCACTGACTGGTAAGAGCACCAGCCTCCTCCAAGCCAGAGAGCTGAAAGCCATCACCCAGTGACCACCTCTTCCTTTCAGTCTACAAGAGCTCTCAAGGCTGGGTCAGCCAGCACTCTGCTTTGGAGTGTGGCAGCACAGGAGTGGAGAGACAGGAGAATGGGCAGATGTCAGCAATACTAAGGGCTTCCTCCTGGGAGGGCATGGGGCTCCACTCATCATCTTGTGACTTCCATCCCTGCTGAGTGGGGAGCAAGGCTCCTTAAGGGAGAGGTCCTTACCTCTGATCCAGTTAGAGCAATAATCACTTTTTAAATGTAAAATAAAAAGACAAATGAAAAGGCACATCCTTGTCTTCTGGTAAATGCCCAAATGTTGCCCTCTTTTTCTGGCAATTGGCAGCAAGTCAGGATGTGTGGAGGAGGGAATCAGTTCTCTCTTCCATTTTGGCCTGCAGCTTCTTAGGGACATGCCTGCCAGCCAAGCTGGAGTTGGAAGGGAATTCTTGAACAGATGGGGGTGCACGTGTAGGAGAAGAAAATAGCTGCTCTATCATCCTCTTTCTGAGGCTCCCCCAAGCCCAGCTTGGGCTGCCTCACTGCATAGGTATGCAGGCTGGTGCTGTGTTTTAAAAAACAAAGGACTTTCCTCACTGGACCAGGCTGGGTGCTTTCCCTGGCTAAAGGAATGCAGTTCTTATCTCCCCAGGGTAGGGAAGAAGGGAAGAGGATTTGCAAAGGCTGCTTTCAGAGGTTCAGTATTCACAGCTGCTGTTCTGGGCTGTTAAAGGAACATCAATGTGATCCCAACAGTAAGCTGAAAGGCAGAGAGTAATGATGCCATTAGCCAATGAGCAAACCACTAAGTGGGGCACCTCAAAAATTCCTGTTCAGAGCCAGGGAAAGCTTGGATAGAAAATGTCAGATGAGCAGGGCTTAGAGTAGGCTATTCAGAAAGTTCTGAAAGCAGAGGGAAGATAGGTCCCAGAGACTAGGCGGGGAGCGAGGACAGGAAATAAAGAGCACACAGAATTCTAAGCCAGCCTCAGAAAGGTACTCAGGCCCTCTGTACCCATCTAGTGTCAACTGAAAAAAAACAAAACAAACAAAAAAAAAAACCTCAAGTCAGTATTATGTACAGTGGGACTCAGGGAGCTCTATTAATGGGGGCTTCCTGTCTTCAAATTCATCTGTGCCTCTGATACATAAAAAGGGTATGAGGGAAGAACAAACAAGCTCTCAGTTTAAGTAAAATTCCATCCCTTTCCATTGCCTCCCTAAACAATTAATGGTGCTTTTCCTGAATCAACTGTATTTGCATAGTCAAACCCCTGCAGGTAATGAACTTGGTCCTTTCACCTCTCACTTAGATCCCACAGCTTGGGAAAGGTTCTGACAGCCCTTTGGAGACCAAAAGACCTCATTTGCAGACCACAGTAGCCTGTAGGAGGAATGCTGGTCCCAGAGGCAGGGGACACTGCCTGGTAACCTACACTTCAGGCAATCACTTTTCTGAGGATATCTTTGGTTTTCGTTTTACCAAAAATGGTTGAGAGAGGATTCTCAGATTCTTACAGTAGGGACCAAGGGGGGCAGTCTCCCAGAAACAAGAGGGGAACCCAGGGCCTCAGGGGAGGGAGACAGACTGGTGGATGTTTCTGTGGGCAGGAGTCCTTCTCTCCTCCAACTCCTGTCCTTTTAACCCCTAACTTCTTAGTATGGGCTTCCTCTAGAATCCTTTTAAAAAATTTCTAATTCAACTTTTTACAGAAATCTGTAGCATCTTGTCAATCCATTTTTGGGGGGGCCAGGGGGTACCATTGACCGGTACTTGACCACTTGAGCCACATCCCCAGCCCTATTTTGTATTTTTATTTTTAGAAACAGAGTCTCCCTGAGTTGCTTAGCACCTCGCTTTTGCTGAGACTGGCTTTGAACTCCTCATCCTCCTGCCTCAGTCTCCCTAGCCGCTGTGCCCAGCAGTTGCCAATGCATTTATGTTTCAGATTTCTTCTTTCTCGCCCTCTTTAAACTTATTTGGCAATTTTTGAATTATGCTTTTAAGAAGTAGCCCCCAAGAACAAATTACTTCTATAAGTGGACACTGCCTCCTCCAGCTCCAGCCGTACCAATAAAAAAAATATTCCTAAGCATGCAAATGTGGCTTGAAGCTAAATTGAAGGAGATCTTTGTATACAAATGGTTCCTTAGTGATAACAACATTCCAAGATTATCATTTGTACTGCATTCAAAATTACCCAAAGATCACATTCCACTTCCTTCTCAGTGGGTGCTGGGGAAGGCTAGATTATCTGTCTATGGCATGTTCCAGTTGTTATAAGAAGAGAGCAGGTGGGAAGGAATGACAAGGCAGGAGTTTGTTCATTAAGGAATTCCAAAAGTGACCAGCTGACACTTCCTGGTGACAAGTGGAAATTTTTTCCTGACAGGTGCTCTAGCATACAAAGCAAGCATACCCTGGACTCAGCTTAGGAATAATTCTGTTCTCTCTTAGAAAAAGAGGACAAAAACGGGAAAGAACACTATGAAAAACAGGGAATTCAGCTTCCTAGTTTTAGGTGGTTAGTTTCCCTTTCTGTGAAAGCTCAAAAGGGGTCTTGTTACGAGAATGAGTCCATTCCTAAGTCTTAGACAAGGTCCATTTCTCCTTTTCCATAACCAATGAACTGAGGGTAAGGAGCACCACCATTTCAGAGAATTCATTCTATTCTCTGAAACCTTTGCCGCCTACAGAGTAGCACATTGCTAAAAAGGAAATAATTACCAAAGGATATCAACACCTGACAAGAACACAATGGGTATGTGTAGGTCCAGTACCTCAGACTGAGAGAAAGAGTATCCAGTAGCTAAATACTTAACACATTTATATTAAACCTCTTGCCTGGACTCTCTTGGTTTAGAATATATGCACTTACATAACTTACAGAACAGCAGACAAGTGAGCCTGTCCAAATATATTGCTCTCTATTTTCTAAGCATGAGTTGAGATTTTAAAAGCATTGGCTAATATAGGTGACCACCTATTATTCTCTGATCTTTTATCTTTGCTCCTGGGGGTAAGTCTAAAATTCAGGATCTAAGGAAAACTATCTCTCCCACATCTATCCACACTCATCCAACCTTTACCACAGGTTCTTAGAGCAGCAGTTTCTAGAAAAGTTGGGTTAAGAACACTCATCAAGGGGCTAGGGTTGTGGCTCAGTGGTAGAGCGCTAGCCTGGCATGTGTGAGGCACTGGGTTTGATTCTTGGCACCACATATAAAAAATAAATAAAGGTCCATCAATAACAAATTTTATATATATATGAAGAACACTCATCAATTTTGTACTATTGATTCTGGTTTCTCACATCTTCAGAGGGAGACTGTCATGGAGTAGTATGGCTTCTTCATTAACCAGTGCCAGCTCTGGAAAAGCAGAGCTATACCAGGTAGCTACACAGCTATGGGAAATGAGCAAGGCATCCTGCCTGCCTGATGAGGGCTGAGCCATCTTCCCCTTCTGCAAAAACAGCAGCACAGTGATATTTCAGGCTCCTGACATGCATCATACGTAGCTGCAAATCCCAATCACTTTCAACATTTCTTAACTGCTGGGGCACCTTTCTCAACACTGTAATTTACCCTCAAGAGAAAAAGGAGCAAAGCACCCTCGCCTTCCCAGAACCATATTCTATTAAATGCCACCCCCTTCCCATATCCCACTAATCTACCTACGCAAAATAGAAAAGCAAATAACCCTCCTCCAAAGCCCGCAACAGACGGCCACAGTACATATGCCACTGACAAGAACTTTTATTTCTTTTTAATGACATTAAACACAACTGCTACAGGGAAAAAACATGATACAGAGGAGGCACCAAAACTTCAGTTTCATAATTGATCCTGACAACAATGCAAGTAAATCAGGGCCTGTATTAGATGCAGAACTACAGGTTATTTCAGGCTCCTTACTTATAAGTAAACTATCTAAACAGCACATTTTTACTCTGCTTTGTCAAGACCCCCTGTGGTGATAATGTCATCATGGATGAAGAAAGTTAGGTAGGCAGTTAAATGCACATAAAGATTACTCAAACTTAAAAATACAGCAGGAATTCCACCTGAAATACTAGACTTAGAGGGCAACACCAAATACAAGAGATTTGTAGCTCTGAAAAGATTAAAATTTCAGATTCTACCCACTACCATCTTTAAGGCAAATATGCCAGATAATGAGTTTTCTTTGGCTTTTTTATATCTTAAAGAATACCATGTTAACCACTAGAGAACAACTCTCTCCTCCCCCAGTCCAAAAGATTTAATTAAGCTGCTAAAGCTTTGGAAAAACAGAATTATATGAGCTAAGAGGAAATGTGATTGTCACATTGTCTAGTTAACCTGTCACTTGTTTAATTTGGCAAAGGCAATGCTCCTATTACACATTCAGTCATAAACCCTCCAGTACCAGGACAGGAATATGAATCTTAGAGTTCTGCCTAAGCAAAAATGCTGTCTATTCACTCCTGGGTTGTCTGTGGGAACTAGACAGCTACAAAGCTAGCTATTCCAGCTACATTTAATTTTAACTACACTTTGGTCTCAAAGGTGGGTTTGGCATGTCTCACTCCATTAGGCTAATTTAGAACATCCTGGAGAAGTGACCAGTTAAGTAAATGCCAATTTTGCCAACTGAAATACAGATTTAGACTACTGCCTTTAAATGGAATTTCTTCATTGCATTTTACTTCCAGAATCTAAAACAAACATCCAAGGAAAAGAGAGTCCTTGATTGGTTAAAAACAGTAAACACATAGGGATATCTATCCAAATTTATTGGAGGCTTGAATGACTAATCTTCTCCCAAGTCCATTTCTAAAGTGGGTAGAACGTTTAAGATGGGTTACTCACATACAAAGATGGGGCTGATAAAACAATACAACCAGAGAGGCTACAGCAACTATGAACAACTTTCACTGAGTGAAAAGCAGCAGCATGAATGCCAGACTGCAAAACTTCCTAAAATAATGTCTAGAGCTGCCTATAAAGAGAGAATAGCAAATTTCTAAGATGTCTATTAAGACAGATGCACAAAGTTTGTCAGCTTTGGTTAGAACACCAAACCTTATAATCAGGTAATGCCTTTGTGCACATGCTCAATCACAATACCATTAGACCCACTTGAATAGTTATGTGAAGGTATACATCCAGGCCTGAAAAAAGAGGAGATGGTAACATTCAGGGTCTAAAGGCACCTGTTAACCAATAATGGAAACAAGTACCATTCCAAAGTCTCTCTCACAGGAGGAAGGCTCCTTGGCTAGTACCCATAAAGTAAGGATTTAG